TTTTTTTTCTATACTCTTCTCTCAACTCGTTTCTTTACCTTCCACTACCTACTCCTAAGACTATCTAGACGGGACCCCTGCAAGCATAGCTTCCTCTCTCTGTGAAGGGGAGATCTATACACAACTCCACACAGAAAACCATGAGAGTCTACAGACTGCCCTCAGCATCTCATAATGGCAAAATCAGAGCGGGCGGGAGGACGAGTCGCCCTCCTAGAAGGACTAGACCTGCCCGTTGATTTTGCGCGATTCTGCGATTTTGACGGCCTAGTGTGTGTATGCACTCAGACTGCCACCCGATGTCAGATTAGACTCAAGATTGAATTTACCTGGGCTGGGCTGATTAGTCCGATTATAATACCTCAAGGCCATCGCCCTTTTGAAAAAAGGGATCACTCAAAGCTTGCCAGGCTGTTTCGCTGGAATCAGCGACTCGTCAGAAGGAGGTTGTGTGCGTGTGTGTCTTGTCGTGTGCGGAACACTCTGTGCATTTGTCTCTGTGTTGTCCTGTTCGCTTTACAGTGTGTGTATTGTCGTGCTCGCTACACAGTGCCTCTGTGTGTGTGTGTGTGTGTGTGTGTGTGTGCGTTGTCGTATTCGCTATACACTCAAAAAAAGCATGACTGTGCCACAGAGAGAGAGAGAGAGAGAGAGAGAGAGAGAGAGAGAGAGAGAGAGAGCATTGTGACGCAAGCAAGGCGGAGAGGTGGAGGTTGTAGAAAGCAATGCTGTGGCGCTAGCAAGGCTCGTCTGTCTGGGGACACAGTGGATCCGATCTGCGCCGTTCGTCAACGAGAGGTTGATTTGATGTGTGGCGTTCGCCGACAAGGTTTTTTTTTTTTTTTTTAATTTATTTGGACGTCGACAAGGATTCGAGCTGCGCTGAATACAAACACGATGTGGCTTGACGTCAATCGTGAATTGCGGATCGTGGATTGCGCCGGGTGGCAGAAGCGGGGTTTGCGCGCGGTTCTTTTGGCAATGCGCGCTCAAAGGTTTTGTCCATTTGGCGCCTTTGGGGATTGCCGCGGGTTTCTCTCTCCACGCAGTCCACTCTGCCCTCCCGCCGGATCCGCAATTTGCTTCCCGCTTTCCCGCCATCGCCGCCCTCTGCGCCTTTTCGCACAGTAGGAAGTTCTGTACTTATCTCTTGGGCGTAATTGCTGTCAGATACATCCGGTTCTGGCCTTCATTTCGGCCAGATGCATTTAAACTAGGTAGTACTCTACCCTCCTGTGTTCCCCCCGCTCTTACGCACGCAAGCGGTATCGTGTCGGTTAACCTTCCTTCTTTTTTTTTTTAACTGTACCTTCCTTCTTTCGCTGTGCTGTTCTCTTGTTCTCCTCATATAGTTATGCTTCGAGATTCATTCAGGGCGTCGCTGCACTGCTCACGACCTGCACCACCGACAAAATTCATGGCGGTGTATCTTTCCATGTTCTAGCGCAAGATTCAGTGCAACTCTCTCATTTTGCACATTTTTCGAGATCATTGTGGAGCGAGCCCATCACACTGTTGTGTGTCTGCCCTGCCCTGCACGGTTGTGTGTCTATCTGATCAGAAGTGTGTCTGCTTCCACTTCTACACCTATCTGCTATCTGCTAAAAACCTACTCAAGGGAAAGGAAAGGAAGCCCATGTGGGTGAAAACAGTACTCCCATTAACTGTAGGTAGGCAGGCCTCAGTTTTTTTTTTTTKTTGGCAGGTCTGATTTTTTTTTTTTTTTTTTTTTTTKTTGGCAGGTCTTGAGTTCGAACCATACAGAAAGAAAAGTTAGGGGAAAGGGAAATGCAGTGGACAAGCACGTGTCACACTGCCAACACGAAGCAACTGATAAGGCAACGTGCCTAAGTCAGCTATCGTCGCTCAACCCTCATTACTTTAGCTCTGCTGCTGTAGCGTTTCTGAAGGGTTTTTTTTTTTTTCCCCTTGTT